CCATCAGTTCCAGGCAACCACTAATCTGCTTTCTGTCTCTTTTCTGGATATTTCATATAAACATAAACATGTGTGTTCTTTTGCATTTGACTTCTTTTACTCAGCAAGTTTCTGCAGTTTATCCATGTTGTAACATGTATCAGTACTTTATTTATCCTCTCCCACCCTTCTTTCTTTTTTTTTCTCTCCTGAATTGTATTCTATTTTTGTGCTAGTTCATTTTACTGTTATAACAAAATATTTGATACTGGGTAATTTATAAAAGCATAAATCTATTTCTGACAGCTCCAGGTTCTAGGATGTCCAAGATCAAGGTGCTGCATAATTGCTGTCTGGTGTGGACCTTCTGTCTACTTCCACCATGGTCCCTTTTTGCTATGTCCTCACATGGTGGAAAACAGAAGGGCAAAAATGGTCCTAGCTCATTCTCCCTATCTCTTTTATAGAGTCACTAGTACTACTCATGAAGCCTCTGCCCATTACTTAAATCACTTTCCAAGTCCCATTTTTTAATAGTTTTGCATTGAGAATTTAGGTCTCAACATAAATTTTGGAAGAAACACAAATGTTCAAACCATAGAATTCCACCTTGGATTCCCCCACATTCATATCTCACTCTCCTGTAAAGTTCATTCATTTCTTCCCAATAGCTCCAAAAGTCTTATCTTGTATAGTCATCAAGTCCTTGAGGAAAACAGCACTAAATCCTGAGGTTTGAGGGCAATTTTCTTTGATTACATGTTATAAGTTTTGGACATTCTGGAAAGGGCTTGGCCACTAAGACACTGAGAGATTCCCACTTCCTTGGCTTTTTTTGATACATTCCACAAAGTGGACTTCACAGTTTAAAATCTGGTAGTTCCAGCTCTCTCAGGCACACTGGTGGCTCTACATATAAGGTGTCCCAGGAGAAACTCCACCAGTGGGTCTCAGGAGTTTCCCTAGTGGCACCACTATGGCACATCTCCTGAGCCATAAGGCCGTCCAGAACATCCTTTGAAGTCAAGGTAGAAGCAGCCCTTCTTTCCTAGCTCATGTAGTCTGCATACCCGCGGAGTCAGCACTGTATGCCTGCTCTGAGGTTGACCACTTGTATCCTCTGGAGCAGCAGCCTGAGCCATGTCTGTGCCTGCTGAGGCTACACTTGGGCCCCTGTGAGCCACACCTGTGGCTCAGGAGCACTGTGCTAGAATGTAGGGATCACAATTGAGGTTTCCTTGGGCACAAAGTGCCACAGGCATCTCGGGCTCCTTCCTTGAAACCTCTTTGCTCCAGAGTGGGCTCCATAATACCTTCAGAATTACTTTTTCATTGTCTGGGTGACTGGCATCTGGCTTCCTTCTGTCCCTACCATTCTCCCACCCTTGGAGTTTTCTCCTGAACACCATTTTTATTCTTTGCAATCTGGCCAGGATGAGAATTTTCCATATCTTTATGTTCTGCTTCCCTTTTGATTATAAATTCCATCTTTACTCCATTTCACTCTTCTCTCATTTTAGCAGTCAGGAGATACCATGCAGCACCCTTAGCATTTACTTAGAGATTTCTTCTGCCAAATATTCTAGTTCATCACTCTTAAGTTCTTCCTTCCTTCTGCAAAGTACTAGGACATAAACATATTTCAGCCAAGTTATACCACTTTGTATGAGGATGGTCGTTCCTCTGCTTTCCAATAAAATATTCCACATTTCTAATAACTCATTAGAATGGCCTTTATTATCCATATTTTTGGTCTGCTGCTATAAGAATACCTGATACTGTATAATTTATAAACAAACAAAGAAACAAACAAACAAAAAGCACCTTATTTTTGACAGTTTTAGGGGCTGTGAAGTCCAAGATCAAGACCCCCTAGGTTTAGTATCTAGTGAGGACCTTCTCTCTATTTTCAAAATAGTGTTGTTGTTGTTTTTTTTTTTTTTTTTTTTTGCTTTATTCTCACATGACAAAAGGCAGATAGGCTAATAGGGCCTAGCTAGTTCTCTCCAGCCTTATCCAGGCTCTATCCTCATGATTAATTTCCTCCTAAACAGCCCACCTGTTAATAAATATTGCCTCATTAATAAATATTGCCTCATTGAGGATTTATGTTTCACTGTGACTTTTGGAGAGAATGTCATCTTTCAAATCATAGCAATTATGCACTAATTTTCATATTGCAGTTGCTGTATTTCTCTCCAACATGCACAATATGTTTATCATTCTTAGTCATAATGGTTTTTGAAACTAGTAGTAGCAATATTTCTAATGCCATTTTAACAATTCCAATTTGGGGGTACATTGTAACAGTTTCTTACTTTCACACCATTAATGGCTTTGCTTAGATGATTGTCCCATTTATGGATTTCTTTTGAGAATCACTTGGTGTGTTAGTTCACTTTGTGCTGCTATAATAGAACACTCCCATGGATTAAAGCCCACTTTCTTGGAGCTCTCAAGAATGGGTTTAAGGTTGCATGCAGTGGTGCAGGCCTGTAATCCCAGTGGCTCAGGAGGCTGAGGCAGGAGAACCACAAGTTTAAAGTAAGCCTAAGCAATTCAGCAAGGCCCTGAGCAACTCAATGAGTCTCTGTCTCTAAATAAAATACAAAAAGGGCTGGAGATATGGCTCAGTGAATAAATGTCCCTGAGTTCAATCCCCAGTAGAGAGAGAGAGAGAGAGAAGAATGGATTTAATATCTTTGCAAAAGGGATTTCCCTGTCCCTGTCCCTTCTGCCACATGAGGACATAGTAGGACAAGTACCAGGCCTTATCCTGTTTGACCTCAGACTTGTTTCTTTTTTTTTTTTTTTTCCTGGCTCTATCCATTTTAACAAAGATCAAATCCTTATTTGCTGTATTTCCAAGGTCTCTTTGTCACATGTCTGTTGTCTGTGATCAGCCATTAGAGGGTTTGGAGGGAGATTGGCTGGTTGAATAGAAAGGTCAATTTCTTCCCTTCCCCATCTTTATATTGTATCTATTCATCAAGGGCGGCTTCTTGTATGTTTCTTCCACTCAAGACTCCTGCTGTGGTTCCATCTTGTTCCAGGTGATCTTGGGGTTTGGACTCTGCACTTTGTCTTTGGGATTGTAATGGCTTCTTGCTGTTGCTAGTCTCTGGATTGCTATACAACCATCTGTTTGGTCTCTCAGCTCTTCTATTACCTCATCTAATGCATTCTCTGAATTCAATTATTATTGAATTACTATTCTGTTTAATATAAACAGAATTTCCAGTAGAACTTTCTGCAGTGAAGGAAATATCCAGACAGTAGCTACTAGCTACAATGGCTATTAAATACTTGAAATGTGGATAATGCAATGGAAGATGTAAATTTTCAATGTTTCCCAATTTAAAATCAATCTAATTAATGGATTTAAGTAGTCACATCTGGCTTGTGGCTATTATGTTGGACCACAGAACCCTATATTAAAGATATAATTCCTTTCTCCTAGTTGCAGAGATTAAATTGGCCTCTTAAATATATATATTTTTTTAATTTAAAAGTGAACATTTTTTCTTTGAATTTTATCCCATTGCTTTTAGGCTTCAAGCTCTTCCCATTTACAGCCTTGGCAAATGACTTCTATTTTTTAATTTTTCCTTTACATTTACATTTTGTCATCTCAAGTCTATTTTGGTGACAAGTCTGTCTGTTTTAACTCATCTAAAATGTTTTATGACTGCTTTTTAAAAATTTCCTTTTATTTTATACTAGGTCCTTAGTTTTGAAAGAGATAGGATTTAATGTGGTCCAACCTTTCCTGAGTTATTAGTACCATATTTAGTGTAGTCACACCCTTCTTCCATAGTCCTCCCTTGTCCCAGCCTTTTCTTTTGTGGCTGTATCTAACTTTTAGAAAATTCTACCTTATATTAATACTGGATTTATTTTTCTGTAACCTCTATCAGTTGGTTTTATTTAACTTTTAAGAGCAATTACATGATTGCTCTCAGTGATGGTCCTAGTGAAGACCTTTTCTCTACTTGCAAAATGGTGTTTTGTTGCGTTATTCTCACGTTATAAAAGGCATGATTCTTTTTCATGATAGTACTTTTGAAGTTTGCTACCATCTTCACTGGAGTTCTTTTTTCCATGTTAAATGTTCAAAGTTTTTCATTATACCTTAGTTAGTACACCCCTAGGTTCCATACCTTCTCTGCATGGCCTTAGGTTGACTGGACCAAAAGTCTTTGTAGGGCTCTCATTTAACCTACTTCTATATAATATAATTATATTTCAGGACATGGTAGGATATCCGGTAGGATTAGCTAAATTCTTAGTTTTCCTCTTGGTTGATTAAAAAGCCTGTTTTCCCTACACATTCTCTCTGTCCTTTCATGAAGCATAATTCATTTGACAGGTTTTTACCAAACATGTAGTGCTGTTGTCACTAGAGATAGAATTGGTTGTTTGGACTCAAATACAGGATGTTATATTTTACTCCTACAGAATTGTATCTTGTTGCAGCCTTTATAAAATAATAAAAAAAGCCTACTCCCACAGGCATTAATCCATACTGAGAGTGGACATGTCCCACTTCTTAATGCATAATTACAATGATAAATAAATTTGATCATGTGTTTTGTCAGGGACAACAAACTATAGCATTGGATAATTGTTAACTCAAAGACTTTGTATATATACAGTAAAATGACTTTTGATATTTTTACAGAAATTAGATTTAGCAAATTCTTGTCCTTTGTTTCCTTAACATGCCTTCAGTATCTTTGTGTGTTATCCAAAGAAATTAACTCCATTAATTGAATCATTATTCAAATATACTTTATGATATTTTGGCTAACATTTTTGGCTGTTACTCAAAATAAGACTATATCTGGTTAGTATATAAAATACTTCAATATTATATTTCTCTGGGGAAAATATTATGAAATGTAAGAGATCCGCTGTTGAATGGTTTTATTAAATGTGCTTTGACTTTCAAAATAATAATTGTGAGAAATAATATGTTCAATTTGCAGAGTTTTAATTTTAATGCATTTTTGCTTCTTTAGCATTTGTGGAATCCAACATTTGGAACGAATAGGAAAGAAGCTGAATCTCTTTGATTCCCTTTATTTCTGCATTGTGACGTTTTCTACTGTGGGCTTCGGGGACGTCACTCCTGAAACGTGGTCTTCCAAGCTTTTTGTTGTTGCTATGATCTGTGTTGCTCTTGTGGTTTTACCCATACAGGTAAATATAATCTTGCTAAATTTTATAGAAGTGTTCAAAGTCTTGTAAAATTGAATATTCCATATTTTAATAAAAATACTGGGTGCCTTATTCATCTAGCAGTAATATACCGCCACATTCTCTTATTATATCTAATCAATTATGTAAATTATTTCAGAAATTCCATTTTTTTTGCTTTATTAGAAACAGTGAGGTGTTTTCTTCCTTCAGACACAATTGATAGCTCACATCTTGTTTTAATTTTTTGAGTTGCTTTTCTTTATATAGACAGTGTTAAATCACATTAATTATGGGACACTATGATTCTATTATTGGATGATAGACTAAAGAAACAAATTTGTGAAGGGTCAATTTCTCTCAACTCTTGAAAATAAACCTAAAAGCCGTAAACTTCAATGGATTAGAAGTTGATTATTTATGTTCAACTAAACCAAAATTTGAACATGGTATTACAACTAGTATACAGCATTTTGGGACCTGAATAGTAGGTTGCAAAAGGATAGGGATATAAAATTTGACTTAAGATAAATAGAAGTAATTGCCAACTCTTTCTTGTAATGACCCCTGGGTGCTCCTAAGTGAGCATGTCAGAACAGAGATATGATGAAGTGTAAATTAAACTTGCATGTTCATTACACAATTTTGGCAATGAGTGTATCTAAATACATCCTTTGCAGCCACAAAAATTACCTTCTATGTCTTGTTTCCTTATACTCTTCCCTTGCTCGCTCCACTTCCTCCAGATACTGATGAGGGTGTGGTGTGGCTTTTGTGTCTTGATAAGGGAATTTCCCATTGCATGACATGTGGGTAGAACCTGACAGGAGAATGTGGAGGGATGCTGACAATTTCGCTCAGCATATGGCATAACTTATCACATTATTCTGTATATAAATAGAGGCATAAGCCTTTTAGTGGCCTGATGTGATATAGTAACACAATTGTGGTAATTTATTTCCTTAGATACCTGAAACTCATGGCAGACACTTATAATCTCTGAAGAAATCATATGACAAATCTGTTGTTGAAGAGAATACTTAGAATCTCAATGACTTCACCTAAGAAATTGACTGTACCTAATAAATGATGCATATACTAGATTGATTTTCTTTTGTATTTTCATGTATGATGTTATTCATTCACATTTCGAAAATATATTACAGTTCGAACAGCTGGCCTATTTGTGGATGGAGAGACAAAAGTCAGGTGGCAATTATAGTCGACATAGAGCTCAGACTGAAAAGCATGTTGTTCTGTGCGTCAGCTCACTGAAGATTGATTTACTTATGGATTTTTTAAATGAATTCTATGCTCATCCAAGACTACAGGTACATTTAATGCATGATACTGGATCATACCTATTAATATATTATCAAATTCAGTTAACTCACAGTGCAGCCTGCATTTGGAGGTTTTTAATTTATACAACCAAAGGTATAGAGAGCAAATGAAGAACTACAAATATAGCCAAGAACATAGAAAAAATGCTGGAGGAATAAACAGCATTTTCAGATTCTTTCTGTATCTACACTAAAAGACAGATGGAATTATGTTAATTCAGAAAGCAAGATTTTCTTTGAATTAAATGGTTGCTTTTTCTCCCTTGGATAAAACATAAATGACATTTTTATGAAACAGTGAATTTTAAACATAAAGTATAATAAAACAATGAAGGAACCATTTCAATATCATCTGTTCACTTGAATGCTACAGAATTTCATGAAGTTTTGCTGCTAGAAATGTGGAAGTCTGGAAGTTCCTCTTTATTCATTTATTTATTTTTGTTGGTTTGTTTCCTGGAGTATAACTAGGTACTATTTATAGTAGCAGTAAATGACCCAAAATTGTACAGTAACTAGATGAATCGAGAACACGAATTCAGAAGAGTTTCTTAATTTGCCTAAGCAGATGAAATCCTTGGATATTTCTACTTTTCAGGATACATGGTCAATGTAGATTTGTTGGTCCTTCCTCAATATATCATTGTCATGGGGTTAAATAGTTCCGGTAATGGAGACATTGCTAAGTATGTTTGTTCATTCTTCCTTTATTAAAAGGAAAAGCATAGATTTGTGAATATTTTTTAGAGCTTTTAAATACTATATTTTTACATTTAAAAAACTTACTTTAAAACTGATAACTATATCATATAAAAATCTTCTGTTTTCATCAATTAAATGGTGGTTTAGAGAAATTTTCATTCGTATTTTGGATTTAAAATTTTTCTTATTATAATATCTAGTTTGCTATTATAACTAATAAGGAAAATCTCTTTTGTGGAAAATTTTGATCCTATAATCATGAGTTTTATCTAGTATCAATATAGAGAATTCTTAAAACTCCAAAACTTCCACCAGGCATATTTTAGAGCAATAAAATAGTGAATGTTCACCAAAGAATTTTAAGTCATACAGATCCTTTTGTTTTAAACCATATTATCTCTTTGAATAATTTAGTATTTTCTCCAAGGGACCATATATTTTGAAATTTTTTTTAACCCAAGTTCTTTCACTTACTTTGTCAGTATTTTCAATGTTTTTATGAATTACTCATTCATCAAAAATTATTGTAAATTATTGTCCATAAAAATATTACCAAATGATAATAATTATCACAGTTTTGTTTTAAAAAGTAATAACTTGAAGGAGAAATTGGTTCTTAAACACTTCTATGTGCCATTCAAAGTATGTATGTTGGAATCATTCTATAGTTACAACTAATACTTCATAGGCTAAAAGAGGGTTTGGAGTATATGGTGTATAATCACTTCCATTTGTGGTACTAATATGATTGTAATAGGTAAAGAGGAATGATTTATGAAATTCTGTTTGTCTCAGTTGTGTTTATTATAGTATAATGTTATTAAACGTAATTTATTTAATTTATGCTAAAGTTTATATATAAACCTCTATAAGCAGGAGATCATTTCAATTTTATTGTATTTCAAAATATTCAAATATTTTAATTACCTAAGTAAGACAACATAAAGCATTCTTGTTTTTTTCCCCATTTCCCAATTTGTTTTGAATAGGATTATTATGTGGTGATTTTGTGTCCTACTGAAATGGATGTGCAAGTTCGAAGGGTATTACAGATTCCAATGTGGTCTCAAAGAGTTATCTACCTTCAGGGTTCCGCTCTTAAAGATCAGGATCTGCTGAGAGCAAAGTAGGTATCCTTATCTGTTTTCCATCTTGCAGCTTGTGGTTTTGAGTGCTTTAATATCCTTTTTATCTTCCAAATCTCAGCAATTTTCAATGTTACAAAATGTGTTAAGGATGTTTGAAAATAGAAATTAGCCTTAGTTCTGCTAATTTCTATTGAGTCCAATTAAAATGTTAAAAATATAAAATTGGTTTATTTGCTCCTCTTTCCCAGCCTTACCTTAGGGAAAGATGTTCAGCAGACTGTGTCCACAAGTTGCAATGAGAAGTGTGGCATGGTATAATTCTCCAAGCTGTCAGAGGTGGGCGAATGTATCCTGACTCACTGTTACAGTAGTCTCAGAGTCCCTGTATATTGTTTTGATTCTGAAAATAGAAATCTTGGACTAAGCATTATTTGAGATATCAAAGTAATGAGTCAAGGGCTAGGGATATAGCTCAGTTGGAAGAGTTCTTGCCTTGCATGCAGAAGGCCCTGGGTTCAATCCCTAGCACCAAAACAAAACAAACAAAAAAGTAATGAGTCAAGTTTTAAATTTTAAAGAGTTTACAAAAATATATTAGGCAGAAAGCACTTGTGTTTTCTGGGATCAGGGACAGAAGAATCCCTGGAGGCTGAAGGAATCTAGAGGGTTAGAGGTCTTTCTGAACTGTCCTCTTCCTGTTGTACATGTCCCAGCCAATTTAGCTTTAGGTGATATAATCTAGGGCCTGGAGGTTCTGCCACATGAGCAGAGTGAAGCAAGAGTGGGCAGACCATGGGCCTCTGGAAATTAGGGCTTCATCAATACTAGGTCCTTAGTTTCAGAAGTGAAAAGAAAGCCTTAGTTTTGCTAGATGTTTCCTGATGCTTGAAATGTTTTAAACATGTCTTCATGTTCATCCTGAGTTGACCTATGTGCTACTTAAGATTTAAAAGTCTCATGAATATTAGAGCATAAGCTTTTTTTTTGCCCCCTGAAAGGCGTGTGTGTGTGTGTGTGTGTGTGTGTGTGTGTGTGTGTGTAGAGAAAGAAAGAGAGAGCATGAACAAGCGCATGGTCTGATAATAAAAAGAATAGAGGAAAAGTCAAAAGCTCTTTTTTGTTGCTTAATCATTCAAGTGGTGACTACATACCTAGCAAGTAAGTACTCTGACATTACTTTTGATTCATAAATGGCAAAGTTAAACTGAGGTTTGTTTTAATGACTCACTTTCTAAAGCATGAGGTCACACTAGAAACTACCAGGATATAATGAAAAGTAAAACTGGTAAATAAGTGTTTCTGAGAGTTTATTAGTACTATTATGGTGGATGAAATGTGTTGTTTTATGTAAGAGAGTTTTTTGAATCATAGATGTTCCAAGCACATCAAGCAATCCCTGAATTTAGGTGTTTGCCATGGGTTCTGTTCATCATTATTTGGGTGCTCTAGAGGAATTGTTGCTTAGACAGTAATATAATCTGTATGTTCATATTCATTTGTGTAGATAAACAGAATGCTTAATTTATTGTATGATTTAAGTTCTGCACCCAATAAGCATACATAATGTCTGTAGAATGTTCGTTATTAATTTGTGTGATAAATGAAAGATTTTTTTTTTTTGGTCTCAGAAAGTAATCTGAACTGTTTAGATCTAAGCTAGATACTGTTTAGGATTAACATAATCAATGTCTGATTAAAAATTTGAAAATGGTTTCTCAGAAAAAGCAATCACACTTACAGGAAACAGTCCTTTACTGGAATCCCCCCAAAAGAAAGGGGATGAAGGGATGAGAGGGAGCCAGCTGATAAAACTCAAAAAAGGATGGGTTGACAAAGACGTAGGGTGACAGTTTCCATTTTTGTGTTCATTTCTATTCCTAATTTCATATAAAAGATGTGGGATGTAATGTTAACTAACACGTTCTTCAACACAATTCCCCCTGCAAGGAGCAAGGAATAGGATTCTCCAAACAAGTTTCAAAGGTCAGTTGCATGAGTTTTGAATTGCTTTGTTGAAAATGATGTTTAGAAAATGTTACCTCAGTAATCATGGCTCAACATTTATTCAGAACTGTTTGGTTTGAATTAATTTCATGAACTTTTTTATCTTTGCTGTCCATCGAAAAAAATTTTGTTTTTTTTTGGGGAAAAGGTTTATTTTATCATAGTGTACCAGAAAGATAAATCATCCCTAATTTTGAAAATATACATCTTATGCTTTAAAACATCATGTATCAAGCACTCGAGCATATTGCTGCATCACTAAATTTAAGAACTATAAAGCCCTAGCATGAGGGGAAGAGGTTTGGAACACAACAATGCATTATCTCAGGGAAATAGAAATAAACACTGGAGTTTGATTTATAAATGCAGATGAGCTCTGTTCCCACCCTCTTAGTTTAACTGACATTGCAGTTGAAATATAATTGGTCATGAAATGAGGTTCAATACCATCCCTTAATTTATGCAAAATCTTTATAAAAATATATAATAATAAAAGAAAATAAAGTTTGAATATCTGTACTTGTGTCATAAACTACTGAGTTATATAGATAATCCAACAATTTTTTTTTTTATTCAGCCAAATATAGTCATGATTTGCTAGAAATTCAACTTTTGCTTAAGCTTAAGGATGCACATAGTCTACATGTACTATATGGACCAAGCGTTGAAATTCTATTCTCCAAGTAATATTTCAGTGTGTAATTATTTTGCTTTTTTGTCTGTATTTAGGATGGATGATGCCGAGGCCTGTTTTATTCTGAGCAGCCGTTGTGAAGTAGATAGGACATCATCTGTAAGTTTCTAATATCTACTTTCTACTTTCGTAAGTTGTGCTTTTCATATTAGATTTTTGTTTGATTTTTATAAATCTTCCAATAATAAATATTGACCTTAAATTTTACTAAAGAGAAGCAATGATTGCTTAGCTATCTTTGCCTTAATATAAGAAAAGTTGCATTGTTGTATCAATAAAAAGTTATAATCAAGTAGTTCATACTAATCCTCTGAGTTTTCTGTTGATGGAAATAAAAACAGAACTAGACCTTTTTTTTGTTGTTGTTAAATATATCCTACAATATGTAATTTTGTTAAAGTGGCCTCAATTTCATCAACACTAAAACAAAGCAGATGGATCAGGCAGTCTGCATTAGAATCAGTTGTAGGGTTTCTAAAAAATATACATTCATGAAAATTTTATTCAGAGTATCACTGGTGGGAATCAGAAATCTCTATATTTTTAAAAGACCCCCAGGTGAGTTTGATAAAATTCGGTTTGGTAATATTTGATTTATAGGGTCTTTGTGGTGTATTTTTTAGGTCAAAGTTCTATAAACTTATAATGAAATAAAATAAGGTATTAAAGTTTTACTTCTATTATTTTAAAATGTATTGTAATTTTATTATTTTTTAAAAGTGCACTATTCATGTTGACTGAGTACTGGTACCAATTATATTTTTTAAACCAATAATCCCATCTCTAGCTGTATTTGTGGTTCATGGACAAATGAGAGTGCTGAATTACCTCTGGAGTGACTGGGAGAAAGGCAAAATAAGCCGAGGTCTTCAAGCACATATTTTGACGATTTCTGGAGCATCGATTAGGCATACTCTGTTGCACTAATTTAGGACTCTAAATCTTGAATGTGGCAGGCTCTAAGGTAGCCTTCCTTCAATTTTCCTAAAGTTCTTACTCATTCTTATAATTCCTAACCAATTTTCTCAACCTTCATTTGAAGAAAGCTGCTGTGATTTGAATGGTGTTCCCACAAATCTCTTATGTTGAAGTCCTAACTCTTAGTACCTCAGATGTGAACGTTGGTACTAAATATGTTCAGAGGCAATCCAGTTTTAATGAAGCCATTAGGGCAAGCCTTAATCTGCAAAGACTGATGTCATATCAAAATAGAAAAAAAAATTGAGACAGACATGTATGTACAACAGTTCCAAACTGACATGAAAGCAGCAAGCTATGAGCTTAAGAGAGAGGCCTGGAACAGATCGTTCCCTGACAGCTTTCAGAAGAAACCAACTCTGCCAATGCCTTGATTTCAGACTTCTAAATTTTGTTGTTTAAGCCATCCAGTTTTTGATGCTTTGTTATAGCAGCCCCAGAAAACTAGTAGTTGGGCAGAGACCAAACAAATAATTGGAAAACTTGCAAAATAGTTTATTTAAAATATGTATTTAAAAAAATCATTACTCTCCTCCTTTTCCTCATTTACTAGGATATTCAGACCAGATCCTCTTCAATTTACTCAAGCAATACTTCAGTAGTTTCTTAATTGGTTTGGCATAGTAGGTACTCCAAACATATACACTGAAAAAAATGAGTTTGAACTGAACATAATCTTGCGTTTCTATAATTATTTGACTTATGTAATTTTTTTCCCTTCGGGTGTAACTTAGGTATACAATACATTCAGTCTTTCAGTATCTTTAATGCCTTTGGGTCACAAGGGAGGTCTAAGCATTAGGAAATAAATACATGATATCTTCTAGAGTACCCTTTACAATGTGGATTTGGGAGCTTTCAGTTAAACAATTGCATTCTATTTCCTCCTGACACTCTACTAAGTTGATAGGGAGTGAATAAAATGATTGATACCCATAAGAACAGACGGTTTGGTTCTCTGTTAGAGAACCCACGAGAATTTTTGGAAACTAGCAAGCAGGTGGAAGAATGGCAACTGGCTGAGCCAGAAGGAAGTTGAAATTTAGGTTGAAAGAGGAAACAAATCAGAAGCAGGCTGCGTTCTGCAACGGAACCTCAAGTCTCAGGAGATAGAGGCACCAGATGCCTCTGAAAGTAAGGTTATAAGTAGGACTAAATGTACCAATAACAATTAAAAGTCTCTGAGAAAAGCAGATTCCCTTAATTTTTCCATATATCTATTGCTGTTTACTTTCTTAGCCCTGGGAAAAGAAGTTTACTGTTTAGAGAATTTGCTCTAAGGATACTCTCCTTTCAGAGACACTCAGCATGTGCTAAAATTAGGGAAATTAGGAGCCAGTTGCCTTACTGAATATCACATGCTTCTTCCTCCTTCCATGTCTTACAGAATCCTTGCAGCCAGGTTCCTATCTCCATGAACAACAGTGACAGGTTTATCTGAGGACATGGTCCAGTGAAAATTCTGTGTATACATATAAAACATAAATAATGTCTAGAGTTCTGCAGAGTAGAATCACAGATGATCACCTTAGAGTAAAACCCTCATGAAAATACCCCTGCATTCACTTGAGTTTGAGCAGCTTTCTAGAGCTTCTTTCCCACATACATTCAGACAATAGGAATTACCAGACACTTGAGAGAATTCCTAACTAGAAAAAGAAAGAATAAATGAATGAATAAACAAACAAAAAGCTTGCAGTAAAGAGAAATCAGAGGAAGTGTGAACAGCACCAAATAATTCTGGGCAAAGGTATCAGTTTTAAAATATATATTTGGAAGATGTCACATAATACATATCTTCATAGTAATATAAGAATCTGGTACGTACATAAAACAAGAATAGTATATGCTGTAAACCAAAACTAGTCAAAACAAAAGAAAGAAACATTTGGGGAGCCAGCCTAATATAGAGTAACAAATAGAAAATTCAATAAAAGGCCTAGAAGTTAAACCTCAGGGCCTTGGAAGATTGCAAAATAGTAAAATGAATAATAATACTTAATAACAGAAAAAAGGGTCAAAATGTGAGAAAATTAGAAGATTAAGCAGAAAAAACAATATATACATAGTCAGAATTAAAGAAAGGGAACCTAGAAATAATAGTGAACAACATTATCGAAAATATAATCCAATCAAATTCTCCAAAATCAAATTGTCAAATTCAAAAAGTCCACTTGTTATAGGACAATTAATAGGAAAAACCTAAGTGGATTAGAGAGAATGAGATAAGAGAAAGACCATTAAAGGTAGAACTAAAATGAGAGCACAGATAATAAGAAAAAAAGAAAAAAAACATTTAAAGTTCAGGATGGAGAATATGTGTGTCTTCAGACTTCTTGATGGTAATACTAGAAGCCAGGAGGCAAAAGGAAAATGCTGTCAATATTCAGAAGAAAAATAATTTTCAACTTAGTACTCCATATCTTGGCAAAATTTTAGTCAAGTAAAACGTTTGAAAGAAAGGTATTGTAAATATTAAAGATTACAGGAGATGTACAACTCATGGGAATTTGCTACAAAATGTTTTTTTTTTTTACTAAAATCAAGATGTGAGCAAGGAAGAAGATGACTCAGGTTAGCCCCCAGAGGAAGGAGAGTAGAAATTTCTATGGGTGTGTTGACACAAGATTGTAAACCAGCAAACTGAGCAGCAGGCCCTGACCACAATAGAGAATGGAGGAATTCCTCTGAGAAAAACATGAAATTCGTAGATAGCCTTTACGATGTTGAGACATGTTCCTGTTATCCCTAGTTTTTCCAGTGATTTGAACATAAAGGGGTGCCGTATTTTGTCAAATGCTTTTTCTGCATCTATTGAGATGATCATATGATTCTTATCTTTAAGTCTATTTATATGATGAATTACATTTATTGATTTCCTTATGTTGAACCAACCTTGCATCCCTGGGATGAATCCCACTTGGTGCACAATCTTTTTTGTATGTTTTTGTATTCGATTTGCAGAATTTTATTGAGAATTTTTGCATCTATGTTCATTGGAGATGTTGGTCTGAGGTTTTCTTTCTTTGATGTATCTTTGCCTGGTTTGGGGATCAGGGTGATATTGGCCTCATAGAATGAGTTTGGAAGTGCTGCCTCTTTTTCTATTTCCTGAAATAAATTGAAGAGTACTGGTATTAGTTCTTCTTTAAAGGTCTTGTGGAACTAGACTGGGTAGCCATCTGGACCTGGGCTTTTCTTGGTGGGTAGGCTTCTGATGGCATCTTCTATTTCATCACTTGATATTGGTCTGTTTAAATTGAGTATATCTTCCTGATTCAATCTGGGCAAATCGTTTGTATGACTTAAGAAATTTGTCGATGGCTTCAGTGTCTTCTATTTTATTGGAGTATAAGACTTCAAAATAATTTCTAATTATCCTCTGTATTTCTGTAGTATCTGTTGTGATATTACCTTTTTTTATCACATATGCTGGTAATTAGAGTTTTTTCTCTCCTTCTCTTCGTTAGCGTAGCTAAGGGTCTGTCGATTTTTATTTATTTTTTTCAAAAAAACAACTTTTTGTTTTGCCATTTTTTTCATTTGTTTCTTTGTATGTGGTGCTGAGGATCGAACCTGGGCCGCATGCATGCCAGGCGAGCACACTACCGCTTGAGCCACATCCCCAGCCCTCATTTGTTTCTTTTATTCCGATTTCATTGATTTCAGCTCTATTTTAGTTATTTCTTGCCGTCTACTGCTTTTGCTGCTGATTTGTTCTTCTTTTTCTAGGGCTTTGAGATGTAGTGTGAGGTCCTTTATTTGTTGACTTTTTCTTTTTTTAAGGAATGAACTCCATGCAATAAATTTTCCTCTTAGTATTGCTTTCTTAGTATCCCAGAAACTTCGATATGGTGGAGAGGGGGAGCATGGGAGGAATAGATGAATTCTATATAGGAAAGAGTGGTGGGAGGGAAAGGGAGGGGGCAGGGAATTAGCAAGGATGGTGAAATGTGATAGACATCATTATCCAAAGTACATGTATGAAGACACGAATTGGGTTTCAAAATACTTTATATGCAAACAGAGATATGAAAAATTGTGGTACATATGTGTAATAAGAATTGTAATGCATTACACTGTTATTTTTTTAATTAATAAAAAAACCCATGAAATTCGTG